TGTGATTTATATGCATTCGGTATATGCCAGGCCAAAAGAAAATAAAAATAAAACCAGAAAGTAAGTTTATCTGCGGCAAACCGAAGATTTAATACCCTTGTAGACTTTTGAATTCAGAATTGGCAGATAAGTGAGGAAAATAGTATGGAAAAAAGAATGTGTTGTCATCTAAAAGTCATTTCTCGAACGATTCTTCCCATATATATAGTAGAAAACTTGGCATATGAAAACTTAATTTTATACAGATCTATTTTATGGTAGCTATACGATATAGAGGGCCGATGTAGATAAGATTATAGGGGGCATAGAAAAACTTGCGAATGCAAAGTTTGATTAAGAAACATTGATAAACAAATGAGTTTTCCATAGAAGAATCTAGTTTCCTTTCCTCTGGCAGCTATATAATAGAGTAGGCCGATCAATATAGTAGTCCAGAAAGTCGGACCTATGCAATGTTCTCTGATTGAGAGACAAGTTTGCATACAAATAGATAGATATATAGATAATTAACTCGTCTGTTGAGGCTGATCAAAAATATATATACTCTATCGATTTGGCGATGTCTCCTTCTATGCGTTACACATTTCATAAGAAAGTTTGAATGCCCTCTGTAAGAGTATAAAAAACAAAACAGTTGCAAAAGCAGCTGCCCGGCCACAGAGGGCGCTCTTTGTTCTGCCGCATATTACGCATACGAAGCGTATAACATATAACATTTTCAGTTGTAATAAAAAAATATCATATAAAAAAATGCATAATTATAAAATGCCAAGAATGATCGAGCTTTCAATGACTGACTAGCAAATATCTTGGAAAATAGTTAAAGAATTGCTAAAATTTAAAATTTCAAGTTTTTCTAGCAAGGTTCTATAAAAAATGGGATTTGTTATCTCAGCTTTTTGCCATAGCCTTTGGTGTTATGCTTAAACTTAACTAATGTTGGTTTTGATACCAGTTTGATTGTGCATCTAGTTCTGTACTGTAATAGTTATTGCGACTCCAAAGAGACTGAAGTTTTGTTTGATTAACTCGATTCTAAAACCTAAATTTCAGCTATTTAGCTGAGTTAGAAGCTGAGTTCCTGGAGGTAAGCGCAGCTCTTGAATAGTTAAAGTGGACCAAAGAACACAACGAAATGTCACAAACATTTGTTCAACACTGTGATATGGCCTTTTTTACAGGGTATCAGCTGCTTTTGGGCGTGTTTAATCAAGACACAATATGGCAGCTAGAGTCAAGCATATGCAACTTGTTTTGTTTGCAGTTCACTTTAGCCATAGTTTACTGCAAGCTGTTGCTGTTGTTGTGCTCTCTTCTTCTTGTTGCGCCACAATTTCATCATAATTACAGTTGCCAGTTCTTTTGTTGCCATTTTACGCCTCAAATAATCAGCAGCAACTCTTTGAATTTGGGGGGCGTGGCATATAAGCAAATTGTTCAGCTTAGTTTTGGCCATCTTTTTTTGTTTTTCGTGCGTTAAACAAAACAAAAGGCTTAAACGAGCGACCGGCCCACACAAAATTTATGCTAATTTGTTTTTAATGCTTGTCGGATATCCTTGAGGCGCCGAGCCTGGCCGCGTATTCAAATTTAACGCCTCGCACACATATGGCAAGCAGCTACAACAACAACAACAACAACAACAACAACAACAACAACAACAACAACAACAACAACAACAACAACAACAAAAGCCCGCTGCCAATTTGTCTAATAAAGAAAATGAAAGCCGATGCATTGTTCAATTATCATTGCCAGTTTTTGGCCGTGCCGCATTATTCATCGTCTCCAATTTCCACACAAATTAACATGGGCAAAAAGGGTTAAGAGCTGGGAAGGGGGCATATCAGTATTTGTCGCGTTATAATTGCACAAATCGGTCATTCGATCAACGTGCGAGTGCTCATTAATTTTGCTTGCATAATCGATAACTCTTGTAATCGATAAGTTGCAATTAAATGCCACGAATGGTGGCAGGGGGCGGCAGGGGGCGGCAGGAGGCGTGGCCAGACATTGGCAAATGTTAAATGCAATTTTTGCGAACAAGTTTCATAAATTAAGTTTATTAATTGCGTAATCAGAGTAAAGTTCCGGCGTGAACTGGTTAGATTCTGAACAAGTTTTTCGCTTTAATCTGTCAGAGAGATATTAAATTTCAATTTTCAACATATTTATGAAGGATATCTATTATCATCATTTTTATTCTCATCAATCAAATAAGCTTGATTAAAGGTAACTCAAAATGGTTTAGTTTCAGGCCATCCTTTTTATGCTCCAATAACTCTTCATTCCGAAATGTCTATTTCATTAAGGGAGATATTTCCGTTGTCATTAGGTATATTGTTTCGAACTCCAGATATTTCGAAATGACTTGAAAGCTTACCGAATAAAGTTTTGAGTCAACAGTTTTGATATTTCCTAAAAAGGTCTTATGTAGGGCTTTGAAAATCAGTTTGAAGCGAATCGGACTTAAGTCTTAAAACTTTGCTCAACAAATATTTAAATCATATTTACCACCGACGAAGCGTAAATTGCTTGTGCTGTGCGAAGCATGTCTTTAATGAATTTTCATACAGATTCTTAGAAATTAATTTAAACCCGAAACTTGAGCCACGAAGTCGTTGACTTCCAATTTCCACCGAGGAGGAAAGTGTGAAACACCCCTCAAATTGATTTGAATAAAGATCTTTGGTGAAATGAGTTCGAGACAGAAAAAGTTTATCGACTTTTCCACACAATAAATGATTAAATTAAATAGATTTTTACTATAACAACAAATTAAAACCTTATTAGTTATTTGTTTTGGAATTATTATTAATAATAATGGAATATGTCATTAGCACTAAGTGTAAATTGGTTATAGTTATATGCAGTTATAGTTATTTCCGAAATCTCCATTTTCTATCATGACTAGATCTCAGACTTGCAAGCACTTCTATCAAGTCTCAAGCTAAAACACATTGAGAATTATAAGCAAGAAATGAAAGAAAATGTCAACAATCCAAATTATGTCTTCAATTTAGAAGCTCTATTTATAAAATATACTTTTAAATAGAGCTTCTGCATTTAAGACATATGGAATATAAATAGATATTATATAAAAAAGATATATATATATTTTTTTTCATAAATATAAACAAACTAATTGAATTGTTCTTCTATTTAAATAGCTTTGACAAACTAAATTTACAAATGTATGATATTTTTTATATAGTTTTTTTTATATATATTTTTTATTTTGAAAATTGGTTTATTTAAAAAACGTTTCGAAAAGCTGGGAAAAAAGTGCATTAAGAAAATGCAGTTGCCTTAAAGAGTAAAAGGATTCGCAGGCTTTTTTCTTTTTTCTTTTTCATTATGTAATTTAATAATAATGCACTTTACACACGCACACACATGCACACACACACAAGCATTTTGCAAGTGGCGACTGCGTAAAAAATGATTTAATTAATTAATTTTCATTAAAAAGACGACAAAGTGCGACGGACTAACGCCACAAGCGTTGCGACTGTTGCGATGTCCTGCAGCAGATAAACACAAAAAAAAAACCCAAAAAAAAAAGAAACAACAAAAAGAGGAAACTTCAGCAAAATAATAACAACAACAAAAACAACAGGAAAAACCGGAAAAACTGTGAACGTATTTGAGTTGCGAGAGGAGCAGCTGCTGCTGCTGCTTCGGCTCCTGAAACTCTTTCGTCCTGCTGTCAGTCTGCCTGTCATTTACAATTTTAATCTCGTTGTGCAGTTTAGCCTAAGTTGGCAACAGGATAATGAGCACAAGTCCCCTACCCAACACTGCAAATGCAGCCCTGCAACATGCTCAGCATGAAATAGTCAGAGAGAAGGAGAGGGAGTGGGTGAGAGAAGGGGGGTGGGGGGGGGGGGGGGTCTGTAATTAAAGACGCGTGCCAAAAAGTACGCAGCACATGCAGGACACCTGGCAGGACAGCCAAAAGAGCACGGGCCAAGTTTTAAAACGAGCGCAAATTTTCATGGCTAATAAATCACTTTTAATATTAATAAAACATAAATCACAGCGACTAAAAACTTGACAAGAACGCGCCGGCTCTGCTGATAGAGCGTGAAGAAGGGAAAGGGGGCAAAGGGGTCGGTGACGTTAACGAAGACGGTTGCGGAGGCGGAGGCGTGTCCATAACTGAAGCCTTTTGTCTGGGCGGCCCACTCACAAAAAGTCGAAAAAGTTTTTCGCACACCTTTTGAAATTCGCGCAGAGCACGGCTTAGAATGGATGAAGACAATAACAAGCTCCGGGCTGATCCCAGAGTTGGGCGGGCCGGATAACTTTTAATTTTTAAATAGAGTTCAGTGTTCAGTGTTCAGTGTTGGGCAATGCAGTTGCAATGAGTTAAATATTTTCAAACTGGCGTTAAGCAATAAGCAATGATCTAAAATCTAAGATGTAGAAAGATGCTTGGCAGATAATGTCTGAGAAAAAGACAAGTGTGGCATTTTGATATCACAATATCAATAAATCATCTCAGTATTTACAATTTAGACTACTCCTAAGAAGGAATTTTCCTTAAGAAAGTGAAATATAGGAAGGTAGCTCTGTGAAAAGCGACAAGAGTTTGTAATAGTTATAGCAGATCTTGAAAAGCTTCCACATGTGTTTTTCACATATATTTTACCCGCGTATCAAACCTAATGTTCGCCGAACCAGGAAAATACATTTGCAATTTGAACAATTTCATAGCCAAAAAAAAAGTACTAAAAATTGGCAGAGTAAAAATTTATTTCAAATGCTACACGCCATTCACGTCTAGCGCATTCACAATATGCCACATAATTTTTATAGAACAACAAGAAAATAAAAAAAGTTCAAATTTTCTCAATCCCCAAATCTGCTATTAAATACATTGCAATATTTATTATATAATTATCACAAATATTAACTATTTTAAAGTATTTTCAATAGAATTCAAATTGTTTCTACATTACCAAACACTGCTAAAACAAACACAACACTTTAATTACCTTTTGCCCACGAGGCTACACGTTTTTCAACACTTTTTCTGTTATTTATTGCCAACAGAAATTCTTGTTAAAAAAAAAAAAAGAAAAACCAAACAACTTTAAAGCACTTGAAAAAAAATTCGATACAATTTAAATCTTTTTCAAGCTTTTCAACACTTTTCAAAAATGGTTTTATCGACACTTTTTCTGCCCCTCGATTCGGTTTGATGTTGATTTGAAATTTCTATTCGAAATCTTTGTCAAATCATTTTTCGTAACGGTCAACGACTGAAACGTTTAACGGCGACAAATGTCTAACGTCTAACGGTAATCGCTCGTTCTTTGCGATTCTTCAATTGAGCTGAGAAACTGGGGTTTGTTCTTGGAGCCCAACGACCGACCGACCGACGCGCTAGGAAGTTGCCCGAGCACTGAACGCGGCTCGCATTGGGCCAGCGCACAGGCAACAGCACAGGATAAGAACCAGCAGGACCTAACACAACTCGCATGTCCTTCGGCTGGCCAACGAGCCGCGGCCAAACAAAGCGCACGAAGCTCAAAATTGGCACACGAAGCCAAGGCGATACCGTTAACCGAACCCGCATTGCCCACATCTGCCGATTGCCAACACCGAATGCCCGGCAACTTGTTGCCAGCAACATCTTGTGTTGCCAGCAACATTACAAATAAATCCGTCAAATTGACTTGCAATACGGCTTTACTTTCGTAGCTTTAGGTTAATTTTGTTAAGGATTTTTATAGGGAATGTAGGCATATGTATATGTGTAGACATGTACGTATACTTATCTGGGATTATAATTCTTACTTATTAACATTCTTTACTTAAAGTATTTCTGTCAGTATTGTACTTGGCAAATATTTCATTTCAAGTCAATGTTTCTAATCATGAGAAGCTCCTTTCTCTCTCACTTCCGCAGTACAGCTATTTCTAGTGAAATCTTGTGTTAAGCATTTTATGATTCCCATTTTATTTTTTGTTACGTACGATACATATTTGATTAAATATAATTAAAGCACATAAGAAATATTGTATTTTTTAAGAAAATCACATTTATTCTCTTCCGATTTTATTAGAACTTATAACGGCATTTTTCTTTAAGTGTAGTTGCTTGGAATTTTGATTAAAATCAGGAGTCTTATATTTTTCTTATAAGAATATTTTTATTCAAGAATCGCCTTTGGTATTGCATCCGTCGTTCTATCTATCTATACATCTATATCTGTCTATCTATTCATCTAACTCTTCATGTATCTATCTATCTACATATATATCTAACTAAATGACTATCTGTTTGTATATCTATATATCTGTCCATCTATCTAGCTTTCTATCCATCAATCAATTTATCTATCTATCCATCTATCTCCATATATACCTATCTTTCAACACATCTATCATACATCTTTATTTCATCTATTTATCTCTCTACCTATCATTAATCCATATTTTATCCAACGTGAACTAGATTAGTATATAGAGGATCTTTCTTGGTACTCATTGTTGTGTCAATTTCTTAAAGAAAAAATAGGTTGAATCGGAGCCAGATATTTATTTTGAAATAAGTTAAATGAATTGCAAAACTTTAAAGTATTTATTTGACAAAATATTTGTTGAGCTTAAAGCGAGATTTATTGTGGGACTTTCATAGAAATTGCATATTCAATTGGATGGAATAGATTATGACTGATTTCAGTATTGTCGAATGCTGTCAACGGTTGGCTTTTATCCAATATTTCCAAGCGCCTGAATCCGTCAATAGGCTCGTCTGTAGCTCGTCTAACCGCATTACCTTTTAGTGTAACATGTTTCAATTAAGTTTCGCACATGTTCGTCGAGTAGCGTCGAGGAGCCTAAACAAGCCAAGTTAAAAGCCAAGTTTCAATTGCTTTTGCTGCCAAAATATAATTAAAAACGCCGCCTTCGCCGAAAGCAAGTGTCTCGAGCGTGTGAATACCCTGCAAATAAATATATAAAGCTTAATATAGATAAATAATAGATAATAATAAATAACAATATATAATAAAGAGTGGTTTACAAGAACTCTATAGATTCTATTAAATGGAATATGATTGTTGAGTCAATATTTCCGATTTTTTTCGGAAAGATATATCTATTTATTTTCTGTATACCCATTATGAAAATTTTGGCGTTGTATATAGAATGTGCTGAAAATTATTTGAACCAAGTTTCAAAGATATATAAATAAAAAATGTTGAGTATGTTACTTAGATTCGAATTGTCTCACAATTACTCAGATAAAAAGATATTGTTTTTGTTCCGAAAATCTCTCTCGCATATTTCGCCTAACTGCCAATATAGCCTGTTTGATTGATTAACAGGGTATAATAGTTGCGGCTTTTGCAATCAAAGACACTTTGCGCCAGACAACATTTGTAACGCGTAACCCCTCTCAATAGCAAGCCTCCCCCCTCTCACCACCCACTCTCCGTCCATCCCTATCGATAAAACGCCATTTATGGCCCGACTGTAACCCGTTCCCTTACGTAGTACTTATTCAGTGCATCTTTCAGTACATCACTTTAACAAATCAAGTAGACCAATAGACTCTGTCTTTATTCCCTTCCACGCCCCCTTTCCCGCCCCTCCTCGTCCCACTCTACGGCTCATGTGTGGCAAAGCACTTTTGCTGCTTGTTTTAATGAAATTCATTGCGTCGCTGTCAACGTCGCTGCTGGCGCCGCTGCTGGCGCCGCTGCTGGCGTCGCTGCCTTTTACCAAATGAACATGAAAATGTTGCGTTAATGCAAAGATGGCATCACGACAGCAGCGACGCCTCCAATGAGTATCTAAAAACCCCGAGCAGCCCGAGCAGCAGAGCCCACTTTCATGCTTCATAAGTGAAATTCATTTGACACGCCCCTCCCCCCGGCTCAACGACCCACCCGTACGCCCACAGGCTGCGTTGATTTTAATGAAATGTCATCAACTTTGAGGTGTTTATTGCGCTGCGAACAAGAGTTCGAGGAGCAGGCTTTTCAGATGGCGCAACCCTTTGAGACAGCCGTCGAACCCTGAAAAGCCTCCAGCCAGTAAGAAAGATGAAGATATTTTTTCGGTCTAGTCCCGAAGACCTAATACCCTTGCAGCTGTGCAGTAACTAATTAGCTCCAATTCTTACCTCTCTTACTCGCTTGAAAGTATTTTGTTTAAGATTCGATTCCTTCTTAATGGAAATGGGTCTGAAATATTTGGTGGATAATGATATTTAGGAAAATTCAAAATTCAAAAATGATTTGAAAGTTGAAAGAAACTATTTTCAAATTTCGACAAAATAAATACGCGATATTGAGAGTTTCACCCGGGTGGATTTAAATTGTGTACGGGCGGGAAATGGGTGAGAACGCTATTTATAGAACATTTAAGCACAAAACTTGAGACACTTGATAACAGATATCTTATGTGACATCCCAGCTGAATCAAGCATATATGCTATATACAGTAAATGGAACAGTCATTACAAAAGTTATCTTTTGAAAAGCTCTCTTTCAGTTGTGTCTATAAAAACAGAATTAATTATAAAAAACAGAATTAATTAAATTTAATAATAATAATAGATCAAGTTTCAAATAAAAGAATTTCAGATTCATGCATAAATATAATTCCAGAGAACATATAAAACCACATTTTGCTATGCTAAATGTGTAACAGAATTGTGAGCAAAATATAAATACTCTCGGCGAAGGGTATTAAAATAATCTTGGAGTCTTAATGTCAACCTACGCACAGCTTTATGTGGTGGGAAGTGGGTAGGGGGGGGGGGGGGGGGTCTGTGGGTTCAGGTATTGCCTTTGCAGGCTGGCAAAACATTTTCATGTATCATAAATTGTCTAACACTTAAAAAGTGATTACGTGTGCGACTTCCCAACACAGTTCGTTAGAGGGAGGGGGAGGGGGCCCAGCCCGGATCGGTACATCAATTAATAGACTCGGCAGGAAAAGTGTGTGTGTGTGTGTGTGTGTGTGTGTGTGTAAGGGGGAGGGGAGGGGGGGGTGTAGAGGGGTTTTAGTTAGTTAGTTGCCACTTTAGATAAACAAATTTTGTGCAAGTTGTTAACTTTAACGATGACTCATTAATTTTGTGGATTTAGCAAGCGCTATGCCACAGATATTCACATGCCCAGATACTCTTGCCGCCCGCATCCTTTGGCTAAAGCGTTCTGTTTGTCTTGCCAAACAAATCATAATCTCAGACCCGAGCGAAAACCTTGGCACAAGCTAAATTTTCAATTCAAATTCTCAAATACCCAAATGAAGACAACAAAAGTTTAATTTATTTTTTTTTTTGAGCCAGTTGTTGTTGCTCTTCTTCTTCCTGTTGATGACAGCAATTCACAATGCAATGCTTGAACAATTGTGAACTGAATTGGGAACTGAACAAACCCAAATCGGTCACACTCTTTTTACTAGACAGACGATTTTTCGGCTGTGCTGCGATTGCCTGTTGCTAAGTTCTTGGTGTGAATACGCAGCTACTTGTCCAAATAAATAAGTTAATAATGTTTTTGAGACTAAAAATCATTTTGAAGAGCGCAAGTGATAAAAGCTGCGTTTTTCTGGATACTCTTGTATGAGACGAGTTTTGTTTTCCAAAATATTTTCCTATTCTCTCTTCAAAAGGTAAACGTGTACAAGGCTATTAAAGGCCTACTTTCTCGTTAAACTCTCCGTTTTGTGTTTTTTGACCCCAACTGAAATTACACGTTTTATAATAATAATTAAAAGAGTTAAAATGCATGGGCATTTCGGCTGAGGTGTGCTTGTGCGTGTATGTGTTCGTTTGTGTGTGTTGCGAGTTGAAACGTGTTTGCAACATTGCAACATTGTTTGCTTTGTGCTTGTACTTCAAACACCATCGCTCCCATCCCCATTCCCGACCCCCTTCCCCTGCATGGATCTACGCTCGTTTTGTTTGCCAGCTTTTTGGTGTTGTTCGACAAATCGCTACAAAATGTAACTACTTAACAGCGTCAACAATGCCTGAGCAGCAGCAGGCACCCTCAGAGAAGGTGGTGGGATGAGCAAGGGTGGGGCGGGGGGTCAGTTGAGAAGAAGGGGAGGGAGCTAGCGAGCGGCGATTGTCAGGCGGGTTGGGTTGACGGTCGGCCTGGCAAATTAAGGAATTTTCAGTGCAAACACAAACACAAAGCGAAAAACCTGCAAGTCACGCAACAATCATTTGCCCCAGGGGTCAGGCAAAGGGACGTGGCGGACGATGGGTGGCGGGGGGTGAGGTGTGCAGGTGACAGGCCACAGAGCAGTGCAGACACGAAACCCAACTGGCGTTGCGTCGCATGTCCATCAATGAAAATATATACATATATATATATATGTTGAACAGCAAACGTTGCCCAACACTGGACGTGCGGGTTGGGGGCGGGTGCTGCTTTATTATTTCTTATTGAATAATTATGGCTCATTTGGGGGCGCGAGTTGGTTGTGGGCGTGACAGCGATAACATCACATCAAATGGCCACAAGCGTCAACGGGCCAGAGCTGCATGAGGGTGGTGGGGAGAGGGAGGGGGGAGATATGGGTTGGGGGGCGTGGCTGTGTACGCTTCACGTGCTTATCGCGTTTCCGTTGCTTCATTTAAAAGTTAATGACTGCTTTCAGTGCCCAGCTGTGCAGGACGTGCCATCCAGGCCGCAGGACATGACCAGACCCCCCCCCCCCCCCCCCACACCACTCTTCACCCACGCCTCTGGCGCATTCAACATTGACATTGGTGCGGGCCTTTGGCATGTCACCAGGCAGCTAAATTGATTAGCTTTCAAAAAGAAAAAAAAAAATTAAGTAAATCAACATAAAACCTAAAAAAAAAAGCTGTAAAAATCTTTTAAAAAAAAATGAGAGGCGCGAAAAATCATTGCAGCTATTTAAACATTTCGAACGGCTGGAATTTTTGTTTTGGGAAAAGTGCGAAACGTTTTCGATGCCCTGCCAAACGAAAGTATATGTTTCTTTTGAGATTAATTAAGTGTATAATATAATCGGAAAATAGATATTGTAATTTACGCAAATCTCGTTAAATCTCGATGGGATTTGTAGGAATTTGATCGACCTTTGTTTAAAATTGCAGTCTGAAGCTCTAATAGAGATCCTTATTACTGGTAAATTATACATTAGGACTGAAGGCTAGATCGATTCGGCTTTTCATGTATATAGTATATATATTCTAGATCAGTCGAGTCAAACAGTGACAAAGATTGAATATAGTCTTTTTGTTTCTCTTGTATCTCACATATTCTGCTTTTAAGGATATCTTGACCAAGTTCCGCAATTACAAACCTTCAAAATACTTTCTCCACATTTTTTGCAAAGTTCTGTCCCGCCAAGGGTAATTACTCTTCGGCGTGCCGCAGAAGGATCCTTAGTTTTTTCCGTTTTTTTTTTTTCTTTCTTTATTAAAAGTCACGCAACAATTGACGAGGAGGAACCAACAGCTCCTTCGGCTTCTGTCCCTGTCCCTGGAGTCTGTCACATTTGTTATCTATCAATCTACCCTTCTCTCTCTCTCTGTTTCTCTCTCTTTGCTTCTCTAATTCTCTCGCTCTCTTCCGCAATGAGCCTTGAAAGCGAAAGTAACATTGTTGTGGTCAGCTATCTCTCTCTCTCCCACTCTCACTGTATTTCTCCTCTCTCGCCCTCTCCAACTCTCTTGTCGCAAATCGCATTAATGTCGCTTGTCTTGCCTGCTGTTGGCTATCAAAGGCAAATGTTATTGAATCATTAACACCTCGGTGCCACCGCCCCTCCCAGCCCCGGCTCGTCCACCTGCGTGGCCAACTTATGGAAAAAGAGGAACAGAAGCTAAAAAAAAAAAGAAGAAAAAATGATGCCATAAAGTTTATTAGAAGTCGCTTAATGGCAACGGATGTACGAGTTTATTACAATTTGTAACGAGAGCTCTCAAAGGCTGTTGATTTACATACAAATACACACACACACATACACACATACACACACCTACACTCAATTGGTGTGAGGGCCTAAACGGGCGTAGGCGTCCCGCTGGGCGTGGCTGACAACGGAGCACATATAAAATATGCAGCAGTCGCGTGTCTTTTTTCAATAAATACTTGCCAAAAGCGACTGCCCCGCCAAATGCTTCGTTAAGTGGAACGAACGAGCGCTTAAGGCAACAGCTCTGACTGATTGACTGTGAGATACCCTCTAAACAGAGCTGGA